GATGGGTCTGTGATAATGTTATAATTCCACCTCGACTGGAGTTGATTAGCAGATTTTTCTCTGTTAGTGACGACTGATCCTCCCTCGGATACCCCCCGTAAGCAATGTGATTCCCCCCAAGGGGGCCATCGAAACTTCTCCCCCCCTCCCGTGATAAATATGGACTATAACCCTTATTATCTACGTCTGCGATGATCGACGATATTTTGTATTTTGTTTACGCGCTCTCGTTTTTAATTCTATATTAAGATAAACTACCATGGAATTGTTTGCGTCTCAACTTCGAAAATAAATGTCTCTCTCCGTGCCTTTTTTGTTTTTGTTTTTGTTGCGTTTTTTTCTCGATTTGTGTTAATCACGGGCTAAGATATTTTTTAGTGAGATTACCCACTAGTATACCCACCATTCTCATGGGCATTTCCAAATGGAATCTCCATCATGTTTTCTTCTTCAAGATCAGCAAAACGAAAGTTTTTGCCTCTGTGTTGGAAAGCGTGACTAGCAAAAACATCTACCATCACGGGTTATAGAGCAAAAGTCAGTATTTTCTCATGATTATTCAGATCTACTTATTTGTAATGTGGTGATAAAGCTCGATAATAGAATATAAAACCTCATGACTGATCAAATGAATTTTCACGAGTTCGATTGGTCTTGTCCCTACTAAGTGAGACATCCTCTAACAGTAGTTGTACTCCCTAATATCAGGTAGGAAGGGAGATATCCTTTTAAGATTAGAAATTAACTGACATTAACAATTCGGATCAAAGAATGAGCTTCGTAACTAAATTATTCAAAACTGAAGAAGAAAACATATCTGAGAGTGCTGCAAGGAACAAGCTTCGTCACATGGCTTACCTGCAAAGTCGCTGGAGAGGGATAAATTACTAGTTGTAGCGTTCGAATGTGCTTGAATCCATCTCCTCAGGAAGTCCACAAAGGCCACTATGGATACTATCCTGTTGTCCTTTGTGCTGGAAGACGTTACACTTTTGAATAAAGAGACTGCGCCCTGTTTATAGAAATCGGAGAGTGATAAACAGATAACAGATATAATATGGATATATCAACAAAGTTGAAATGGTAAATTAGCCACCGTAATGATTACAAAAGCTGACGTTTCGAGCGTTAGCCCTTCGTCGGAGCGAATAGAGGAATTGTGGGTTGTGTGTGCTTTTAAAGGCAGAAAATGGAGCTACGTTATTGGTGGGAGCATGGCAACGAGAAAAACATGAATAAATTAGTGGAATGAAAAGCGTTCGTTGATCCCTGTGGGATTTAGACTGCCGGTTTGAAAGATGAGCTTTTGTTCAAGATTTTTACGGCTTTCCGTGCCACCTAAGTGCAAGGAAAGACCGCAGATTGCCATATGTTGCTTAGAATGATTAGGTAAATTAAAATGTCTAGCGACTGGTTTCGATGTGTCCTTGTCATTCCTTTCCACGTCTCGAAGGTGTTCTCGGAATCGGTCACCTAGTCTTCTGCCTGTTTCGCCGATGTATATCTTTTTGCAATAAGTGCAAGTTATGCAATAGATTACATTGGCGGAGGTGCACGTGAAGTGATCGGTGATCTTAATGGATCGTTTAGGTCCCGATATTTTATCAGTGTTGTGAATGAAAGGACACGTTTTGCATCGTGCACGAGCGCATTTAAAAGTGCCTGGTTGGTCATTAGTCTGAAAAGAACTTCTGACCAAAAAATTGCCTATGTTTTTGTCGCGTTTGAATGAAATGAGCGGAGGCTGCGAAAAGATAGTGCTTGTCTCTGGATCGTTTTGAAGTAATTTAAAGTTTTTAAGAATGATGGATTTAACTGAGTGGTTGTGAGGGTGAAACGTGAGAGTGAATGGAATGCGGTCGGAATCTTCCTTATGCGACGTTTGTAGTGCTGAATGTCGATCAATAAGTTGGGCGCGGTGGTAACCCGCTTGAACGACAGAAACAGGGTAACCACGTTTATCGAAAAACTGGCACATTGACTCTGATTTGTGGTGGAAATCAGAGTCATCACTACATAAACGACGAAGTCTTAGAAACTGAGAAAAAGGAATGGAATTCTTAACGTGAGATGGATGCGAAGACGAATNAGTCAGTTAGTCAGTCAGTCAGTCAGTCAGTCAGTCAGTCAGTCAGTCGGTCAGTTAGTCAGTCAGTCTGTCAGTCAGTTAGTCAGTCAGTCAGTCTGTCAGTCAGTCAGTTAGTCAGTCAGTCAGTCAGTAGTCAGTTAGTCAGTCAGTCAGTCAGTCAGTTAGTCAGTCAGTCAGTCAGTCAGTTAGTCAGTCAGTCAGTTAGTCAGTCAGTTAGTTAGTCAGTCAGTCAGTCAGTTAGTCAGTCAGTCAGTCAGTTAGTCAGTCAGGCAGACAGTTAGTCAGTCAGTCAGTAAGTCAGTCAGTCAGGCAGACAGTTAGTCAGTCAGTCAGTCAGTCAGTCAGTCATTTAGTTAGTCGGTCAAGCAGACAGTCAGTCATTTAGTGATTTGCCCTTCCCTGCTTTTGTCATTGTTCCAAAAAGGAATCTCTTACCATTACCCTTCTTTGTACTCCCTGCTTGTCTCGCCGTGTTTTTGTCTTTCCTGAAAGAAATATTGAAGGGAAGGGAGAATCGGAGGCTAAATAAGTAGTGTTTCTCTTTTTTCTTTACCAAGTTTTATTTACCCTTTTTTTTTCTCATATCTCTTAGCGAAAGAGTTGGCTCTTATGGAAAACAACAGTAACAATGACTGCTACTACTAGAAGGTGAGAATTAGACTTATTAGGTTTATATTACAGTTTTATAACATATCGC